CTTCCTCCCTCCCTCCCTCCCTCTCTTCCTCTTCCCCCTCTCCATTCTTTACTGAGTTCTATGGCAACTAGTGTGACTACTGGAATTAAAAGTGTGTATCACCACTGCTTCACTGCTTCACAGTGGGGATGTTTAACTCCCTGATCTTCAGGTAAGCTTTATTTATTAAAATGCATATGAAATGCCACTATATTTATTTCCTTCATTCCTTCTTTTATTTATTTTGAGCCAGGTTTTTTTCTGTATAACCTTGGTTGTTCTGGAATTAACTTTGTAAGAGCAGGCTGGCTTCGAACTCACAGAGATTCCCCTGCCTCTGCCTTCCAAATGCTGGTATTAAAGGTGTGTGCCACCCCCTCAGCTGACACTGCTGACCTATATATTCCAGGATCATTGACCTAGGAATGACACCTTCCATGGTGGGATGGACTCTCCCAAAGAAATCATTTATCAAACAAATGCCCCCACATACTTGCCAACATGCTAGTCTGATGGGGGTATTTTCTAAATTGAGGTTCCCTCATCCCAGATGACTCTTGGTTATGTGAAGTTGATAAAAATAGTTAAACAAATAATAAAACTGAACACTCAGTGCACATTTAATATTGACTGAATAAGCTTGTCCTATCTCAGTTTAGACATCAGTTCCTCTGTGGATGCAAATTATGCTCTAAAATCAACACTTCACATCAGGATCCAGTGAATACCAGTCAATCACCACAATGCCTCTGAGCAAAGAAACCGCCTGAAATAAATCATCTGAGCAATCTTCCTGGAGCTCAGCTTATGTGGATTTATTTCTAAGTATCTGAATCTGTTGCACCCCACCAGGCCTGATACCAGCTCTTATTTTCTTTCTGCTTTGCTTGCATAAGTACTGCACTCCTTGTGGATTTCAAAACTAGTTTAATCTCTAATGAAATGAGACCACCCTCCTGTCTAATAACATAATCTTTTGAAAATAACTGGGGATCAAACTTACTTGACTTCTTACTGTCCTCGTCTTTGTTTCCTGAACCAAAACACATTAAGAGGTAACTTTAAAGCTGAGTGAGCTGCAGTCTTAAACACACTGAAAAGGTTGAGAAAATCCCACAGTAGCCCTGGAGTTTCATTAGAAGCTTCTTCCAGTTTATAACATAGACTCAATTCTCTTTTTTACCCAAAACACTGATGAATCAAATAAATATTTGTCAGCAGTATATCTTAATAGCTACCTTACAGCAATTCCAGTACAAATTTTTCTTCAAAGTTTAATAGCTTTAATATATGGGTAAAATGTAAATAAATGTCAGTTCTCCTTTAAAAGAGTAATAAAAGAATACTGTCTGCCAAAAGTCAAGGTCGTCTCACTATTAAAGATGATGTTTAACACCCCATTCCAATGACTATTTGTATGCCTTGATCTAGACTCCTTTCTTTTGCTGTGGTAAAAACACTGTGACCAAAGCAAATGTTTTAATAACTTAGGGCTTTTCATGACAATGAGACACATCTGCTGCTGGCAGCACCAATCTACTTCCTGAAGAAGATGATCATCAAAGAGGCTCCTTATGGAGTTGGTTAGCCATTTGGGCTAGAAACTGCTCTTGCCTGGACTGATGCATAAACTAGACACAAAGAACCCACAAAGAGATGACTACTGAACTTGCCTAAAGGTGAGATGATCCTTCGAGGTTCTTGTTTTATATGTGCGAGACATTCTGCAGACACAGAAGAAAGCAATTGAAATGTTTTTAAAATTTCCTCCTTCGTGGAAATGTCTGCTGGATACTATGGACCTGTAGGCTCAAGATGGATGCCCTACTAGGACAGAAGAACTTTGGGTGACTGTACAGGCAGTGAGATACCTCTGTCATTCTAGAGTTTTGGAAATTGCTTACTTCTTGTTTACTTAGGTAATATTATATCCTTCTGGAGTCTTTCGTGGAGTTGAAGAATAGATATATAGTAATAGTTTTCCTTTGTTATGATAAAAGATAAAATAGATATCCATATTTTAACTGTAATTCTTGCTTGATAACTGTTTTGTTATATGTAATTTTGCTATGTTAAAGTTAAAACCTTCCTTTTTTTTGTAGACATAAAGGAGAAATGATATAGGAGGTCCTTCTGTTTTTGTGTTGCTTTCACTGGTTAATTTGACCTGGTGATAGGACAGAACTTAGGTAGGTGAAGAAGACAACTGAATTCTGGGAGGAAGAAAGGAAGAAGAGAGAGCCACCATGGAGATGCCAGATCAGACATACTGAAATCTTTCCTGGTAAGCCATGACATCGTGGTGATGTACAGATTAATAGAAATGGGTTAAATCAAAATGTGAGAGTTAGCCATAGGAGGCTAGAGCTAATGGCCAGGCAGTGTTTAAATGAATACAGTTTCTGTGTGGTTATTTCAGGGGTTAAGCTAGCCGGGTTGCTGGGAAGAATAAGCAGCCTGCTCTCTCCTGTTGCATAATATACACAATCCAGACTCTCTAAGTATATTCCATCTTTATGTGGTTTGTTTTTACTCTATTACTTTTTAATATTTACTTATTATCTTTATTCCTTTAATCTATGACTATCTGTAGTTTGTCTCTTTAAAGACTTTGGTTTTACTTATAAACCATACTTCCTTTTATAATTTTCTATACTCATTTTCTTCTCTTTCTCAGGCTTACATATATTTATCAAACACTATGACTCATTTAGAGTTCTTTTATGTCTGAATCTGTCCTATTGTGTATTTGTAATTCTTTTCTGTCCAGGAGTGTTTCTTAAATGCTAAGCGCTTTTAAGGCTGCTTTGCCTTTTGGTTTTTCCCAGTCCAACATGACTAAGTGGAGATCTCTTTAGCATGAGCCATGCTCACAGCCTGATTTTCAGGCAC